TTTTTTTTTTTTTTTTTAGTCATAAGTCAGGAAAGCATCACCCTTGGGTGTCCCTCTGCTAGAGATTTAGCACTTTGTTGCAAGATCTGCCTGTGTTTTACGGGTACTCCCAGGTTTCTGAATATAAAGACCAAGTTCAAATCTCCTTCTATTCCTTTCCATGATTCCTGTCGGAGAGCTTATCACACAGGGAGAATTTAGTTAGGACTATTTCTGCCTAAACTGCTTGCAAAGAAGGTAAGAAGGAGGAACATCCAGAGGCTTTGTGAGGGTGTACAAAGACGGAAAAGTAAGAATAAGAAAGATGAAGTCCATTGTAGCAGACCACAAAAATTAGCATTCAGAGGCTTTGAAAAGTAACAAAAATCCACACATTTAGGAACAAGAAAGTAGAAATGACTGTGAATTCAGAAGTTATGCTTCCCATAACTATGCTAATTAGCTTGCAAACATGGATGAAATAGATGAGTTTTAAAAGAAAGTCTAAATAATCAAATCAGCTCAAAAAGAAATAGAAATCTAAACCAACTATAGCTGTGCAGAGAATTTCGTAAACACTTCAAACAGCAACCTCTCCCCTCCCCCAAAGTTACCAGAGCATTCATTTTGAGGTATTTGTGGAAATTGCTTCCCAAGAAGAAAATCTAAAAGTTTGAAACCTGCCATCTCAGACCCTGGTCATGATATCCTATTGTAGGACAACAAAGCCTCGCAGATTGCTCTGGGGGTTGCTGTTACAATGACCCACCCTTCTCCAAGCCCAAGCCTCTCCACTCCCACCCAGGCTTTGGGAAAAGCCTTTGGATAACCCCTCCTTTGGGGAGCTTCTAAGAAAGGCCAAGTCCCCTATGCTTCTGACAATTTCACAATGGCGTGGCCAGCTTCAAATACATGCGCATTGCAATCCAACTGTTCGGCATCGGGTTTCTTGTGCGATCCTATCCCACATTTTACTGGCTTCCAAATGTAGACCAATTCACATTGTGCATGTGGATGGCCAGCTTTCCCAAATGCCTGAATACTGAGACTCAGCAGCCGCCCATCTTTGTTACAGACAGGCTTGGAAGAACAGAATGCTCTGTCTTTAAGACTGCACTCTTAAATGGGAGAAGCCCAAGGCACAGAGAGTCAAAGTGGCCCAAAGATAAACAGCTGGCTCATGGCAGAGTTGGGACTGGTATTCAGGGTCCTACTTCAATTCAGGACAAAACAATTCAATTGCCCGAGAGAACATATCTTCTTAAAGGCCTGCCTTCAATGTCTTATAGGTAGCCTAGACAGGAGAGTTCCCATTTGTTCTAATCAATACCCAATATGCATTAGATCATCTTGTTGGATTGAAAAAGAAGCTTCTTTATGGATCATATTTTAAATCTATGTACAAGAAAACTATTCATTACTGCAACTGGTAGTTGAATATGTGATAGAGAAGGACAAGAAGGAGGGGGAGAAGGAGGAAGAAAAGAAAAAAAAGAAAAAGGAAGAAGAAAAAAGGAGAAGGAGAAAGATGAAAAGAAGAATAGCATATAAGAAACTCCCACTCCCTTAAACACCTGTTTTTTTAAAATTCCATGGAGGGCATGCAACGTAAGATGCAAAGCCGACCTTAGCTTACATTAGAAATGTATGTTTTTCAAAATTTGTTTTTCAAGACAGAATTTCCATTATGGGGTGGCATCAGAAGTAGTAAATATAATAATCATTATGATGCCACTTACAGCATCCTCAGGGATCAAAGGTCTTGCTGACATCAGCTTCAGTATGAGTCATACTTGCATATTTAATTCAGAGAGAACACAAAGGCATGACACCTATCTTTATAATTAATCAACTGCCAGCACAAAATCAATAAAATCAGCTCACATTAACATTGAACCATTGACTCAATGCTTGTCTTTAAAAAAATCCCAGCAGGGACTGGGGGAAGGGAGCCCAGTTTGATTGCGCGTTACTGTGAACAATAGATTAGACAGATGGTTCAGCGGCTTAAATATAGAAGTATAAATGGACAAATGGGGCAGCGCCTGTGGCTCAAGGAGTAGGGCTCCGGCCCCATATACTGAAGGTGGCGGGTTCAAACCCGGCTCCGGTCAAAAACTGCAACAACAACAAAATAATAATAAATGGGCAAATGGAGACAACAGATTACTGTGTGGAAGCAGTTTGAGTCTATCAGCTGCAAATGGAAAATTCACTCTGTGACTTGATTTAAGCTTGATTAGATTCTCCAACCACATAGTACAGATGCTGACATTTCTCCTCCCTGCCTGCTGCTAGTTGACTCTACATTTCACTTACCTAATTCGTCAGAAAAAAATGTTATTTGAGGACATAAATTCTTGCTTGTATATCTATGAGATTCACTTTTAGTGTGCAAAATATTTTCGTTAAAAGTTCAGTTCCACTCATCTTGATACATTAAGCATTTACGAGAGCCAGGGAACTCTATGAGAGGCATGGACATGTACATTAAGGACCCCGTCTTCAAAGAGCGGACAACACAATAAGCAAGTCAGAACTAGACAAACAATTGGAATGCAAGGCAGGCTGTCATGAGCACTTTTTTAGAGGCACAAAGAGCAAGGGAAACACAGAAGACAGAGAGGACAATTCTTTTTTTTTTTTTTTTTTTTTT